TATGCACACCTATCGGGTCTAGTAATAATTAATGTAGTTTTTAAACATTCGTTAAAATCTTGCTTGGCGTTGACTTGTATTGACATAACCTTCAAACACGTGGTATCTACAGATCGTGTGAAGTGCAATTAACAAGTTTTGTTTGAAAAAGTTTGTGTTTGGTTTGGTTTTTGTTGCAAAACTAGGGCTAAGAAGATGGCGGATGAAGAGCATATTCGGCACTGCATGCTTTACGAGTTCCAATTAGGAAGAAAAGCAAGTGAGGCTGCAAAAAACATCTGTAGTGCTCTTGGTCAAGATGCAGTTAGCGCCAGAAAATGCCAGCGTTGGTTTGAGAAATTTCGCGAGGGAAATTTTTCGTTAGATGACAAGAGTGGTCGAGGCCATGTGTCCAATTTTGATCAAGAAGCTCTTCAAGCTCTTTTGGTGCAAAATCCTCAAATTACCCAACAAGAGCTTGCGACAACTTTAAATGGTTCACAAAAAAACAATTTCCAATCAATTGCGTGCACTTGGCAAAGTCCAAAAGTTTGGAAAATGGGTTCCTCATGAGTTGACCGACAACAACCGTAATCAAAGAGTCACAATTTGCAGTTCGCTCCTCTCTCATCAAAACTGTTTGCCGTTTTTAGAGCAAATTGTTACCGGAGATGAAAAATGGGTGCTGTATGTTAATTTGAAAAGGCGGCCTCAATGGTTGGACAAAAATGAGGCTCCGAAGCCCACGCCAAAACCTGACTTGCATGCGAAAAAAGTGATGTTGTGTGTTTGGTGGAATTTTAAAGAAATTCTTCATTATGAACTTTTACCATCTAACCAAACCATTACAAGTGCAGCGTATAGTGCCCAATTGGAAAGGTTAGCCTAAGCTTTAAGAGAAAAAGAACCCGCACTGATTAATCGGAAGGGCGTAATTCTTCACCACGATAACGCACGACCGCATACTGCAAGAATCACTGCTGAAAAACTGCACCAGTTGGAATGTGAAGTTCTCCCTCAACCTGCATATTCTCCTGATATTGCCCCTTCCGATTACCATTTGTTTCGTTCTTTGCAAAACTTTCTTCTTGGAAAAAAATTTAATAATGAAGAATGCCTCAAAAATGCATTGACCGAATTTTTTGCATCAAAATCACAAGAATTTTACAACAGAGGGATTAAAATGCTTCCTGAGCATTGGGCACAAGTAGTAGAAAACAACGGCAACTATATTGTTGATTAAATTTTGTTGTATTGTTTAAATAAATTCGATTTTAAAAAGTATTAGAAAACGACATTAATTATTACTAGACCTAATATGTTCACAGCAGCACAATTTACAACAGTTGAGGTATGGAAACAGCCCAAGTGCCTATCAGTAGATGAGTGGATAAAAAAACCGTGGTACAATTACACCATAGGGTACTAGGCAGCAATAAAAAAGAAGAATCTCTTACCTTTTGAGACAGCATGGAGGAACCTGGAGAATATTATGCTAAGTGAAATAAGCCAGTCAGAGAAAGACAAGTATCACATGATCTCATCCATGCATGGAATGTAATCAACAAAATAAACTGATGAACAAAATAGATCCAGAGACAATGGAAGTCTGGAATAGACTGTGGAACCTCAGAGGGTGGGTAGGTAAGAAGAGACCAAAGAACTTGTATGCATATATGCATAACCCATGGACACAGACAATAGGGTGGTGAAGGCCTGGGGCAGACGATGGGGGTGGGCTAGGTGGGGTCAATGAGAGAAAAAAGGGCACATGTGTAATACTTTCAACAATAAAGATTTAATTAAAAAATAAAATAAATAAAAATAAAAGGCAGTCAGTACCACAAGATTAGCCTAATTCCCACAAACCCCACCCTTCCGAGGGCATCACATGAGGCTCAAGGGCCTGTGCTATTCTAAAAGAATGGCCCAGCTCTGCCCACTCAGGTGCTCCCTATGAAGTAGTAACAAACATTCTTTGCTACCATTGCTTCCTCCGCAAAGTCAATCATATCATTATTTCTGAGTCAAGAAAACTGTTCCAAATATTCAAAAGCACCAAATGGCAATATCTAACTTCAAGTCAACATCTTTTTTTCTTCCAACATGTGGAAAGTCACATGGCGTAATGCCACAAACAATAATCTGGGTTGAAAAGTTCAGCATGATTAACTCTTGACTTTGCAGCAGTTGTATTGATTTTGGCCCCATTTGGTCAAAATTCTTGTGTTTGCTCATAAAGTATGTGCTAAAGAATAAGGAGGTTTGAGGGTCTTTCCACTAAATCGTATTAGAGAAATGGTAAGTGATTTTTGTCATTTATTTATTTATTTTTAATATAGCTATCTAATGGTATATAAAAGCCTAATATGCAAATTGTTCCTGCGGGAGTTCTACTCACTACGATGTGCACTGATCACCAGGGGGGCAGCGTGGGACGAAGGAAGACCCTGGTCGGCAGTCAGGGAAGGGAGGCCCCAGCCAGCAGCCAGAAGGCCCCGATTGACTCTGATCGCTGGTCAGGTGTATGAACACTACCCATGCACGAATTTCATACACCAGGCCTCTAGTGTGTGTGTGTGTGTGTGTGTGTGTGTGTGTGTGTGTGTGTGTGTGTTTATTTCAGAGAGAAGGAAAAGGTAGAGAAAGAAACATCAATGATGAGTGAGAATCATTGGTTAGCTGCCTCCTGTATGACCCACTGGGTACTGAGACCACAACCAGGGCATGTACCCTGTCCAGGAACCAAACTGTGACCTCCTGGGTCATAGGTTGACACTCAACCCAATTAGTTACACCGGTTTGTTTTGTTTTTACATTAGTCTCCAGTCTACGATGAGTACCTTTAAATATCCAAAATGTTTCCTTTAAACTAGTTGTGCTTTGTTAGGATAATAAGTGAAACTTGCACCTCCTTAAGTCTTTTCCAGGTAAAGCTTTTATAAAATAACTAGAGGCCTGGTGCATGAAATTCATGCACTGGGGGGGGGGGGGGAGAAGGGGAGTGTCCCTCAGTCTAGCCTGTACCCTCTCCAATCTGGGACCCTTTGGGGAATGTTGGACAACCCTCTCGAAATCTGGAACTGCTGGCACCTAACCACTCACCTGCCTGCCTGCCTGATTGCCCTTAACTGCTCACCCCTAACTGCCACCTGCTCACCTTCAACTGCCACTCCCAGCTGGCCTGCTTGTCCCCAAATACCCTCCCTGCTGGCCTGTGTGCCCTCAATTGCTCCCTCCCCCCCTTTGCTGGCCCGCTTGCCCCCAACTGCCCTCCCCTACCAGCCTGATCACCCCTAACCACCTCTGCCTTGGCCCTGCCACCATGGCTTTGTCGGAAGGTCTCCCAGTTTAATTAACATACTACCATTTTATTAGTATAGATGATTCTTTCCTGCCTGTTTAGTTGTTCCTCAAACAGGACACCTTTATTGGTGTTTTTATAATGGAAACTGATAAAGGGAGAGGTGTGTGGAGGGAACATGTTATGGGAAGGGCAGGGAAGCCAGGGGCAGGAAAGTGGCAGTTTGGATTTGGTAGTGACGCCTGGCTGCCATTCCTGGTGCCCAGGGCTCTTATCTACACACCCTACACCCCAGGAAGTGGGCACCCTGGTGTCACCTCCATCTGAGAGATGTGAAGATGGCCAGAGGGCTCAAGTAGTCAGCCCCAGAGCAGACAGGTGGCGAGCCAGCCAGGCTGGAACGAGCAGTTTGCATGCTCGGCCCAGGGAATGAGAGGGACTGAGGGCTGTGAGGCAGGGACACCCCAGGAAAAGCTGGAGATGGAATTCAACTTCCAGGCTCGCAATTAGCGAGTTGCTCAGGTGCAGGAAGGCTGGACCTTTTGCAGGTTACACAGGACCACCTCTGAGCTTCCTGTCCGGACCCCTGGCTGCCTCTCCTGCTCTGACGGCAAAGCCACACACCGCTGGCCTGGAGCGGGCACTGCACAGCCTCTGTCTCTGCTCAGGACCAAGGCCTCTGTCCGCACAAGATGGAAACCACCCGCGGTGGTCACTGCCCGCCTCGCGGCAGGAACGGAGGGCGCAGCCGACTGCCTGTGCCAGGCCCCACGTGGCCAGCAAGGACGTGTAGGGACCGTGCACCGGACGGGTTAGAACAGCCATCAGTGCACAGCCTCACTGGGTCATTCAGCAATGAGGAACTGACATTTATAACAGCGGAGGGTGACACAATCCCAAAAGCACACAAAGGAATGAGAGCAGGAAATAGGGAAATGCCATAAATTTCCTGAAATTCGGGAATCCCTTTAGAGATTCCAGTGTGACCCCACTTTGTGCCCAGTCTAGGCTCCTGGGGGCCATCGCGGACAGCGCTGGGGTGTTTCAGCAGCGGTCCTGCAGGAAGAGGGTGACCTCAGACACGGAGGCCCCGGGGGTTCTCTGCGGCCAGTGTGACAAACCCGCTGAGCAGTACTGGCCAGCCGGGCAGGCGGGCGGCACCAGGGCCGGGGTCTCACTGAACCTGCTGCGCCCTCACAGCAGGACAGCGGGAATTCCCACACGTGTGCCTTTCCCCTGGAAAATGAAAGGGCAGATCCCGACCTCCCGTCCCGACCGGGAGGAGCCCTCCCTGCCAACGCACTTCCTGCTCTCCGTGCTGCCGGCCCGCAGACCGGGCTGGGAGCACCTGCTCCGTGAGTCAGCGCAGAGCAAACATGAGTAAGCGTCGCCCCGGAGGGAGCTGGGGTGGGAGCTGGCGGTGTGAGATAAGGACGTGGATACCTGGACCTAGGACACGTAGGTGGACGCTCCGCCCCGCCTGGGAAGCACGGGCACGCCTACCAAGCGGGAGCGGGCAGGGACCGAACCAGCGGAGGGAAAAGACTCCAAGACACTGAAGGATCCGCCCTCGGAGTGGGGGTGGGGCGGGGCTCCCAGGGATGGGATTTCATCAGGGATAAGATTCGAACTTCAGCACCACCATGCACACAGCCGGGGTTCCTGGGCGAGGGGGCCGGGGGGAGGGCAGGGACCACGGGCACAGCGGGGCCAGTACCTTGCAGTCGCAGCCGATGGGCTTGCCGCACTCCTCGCAGGTGCTGGCGTACAGGGCCTCGAAGCAGCCCACGCAGTAAGGGCTCTCCTCCCTCAGGATGTACTTCTTGCCGAAGAGAGACTCTTCGCAGTGGTGGCAGTCAAAGCGCTCCATCCTGACCCGGCTCCTCAGTGACCTGCCAAACAGGAGACAATCGTGTCACGGCGGGCACAGCGAATGCCGTGTGCTGGGCCTGGCGGGCGGTGCCCTCAGTGCCACCTCCCGCCAACCGGTGGCTCCCTCCTCTGGCCAGTAACTAACTGGGCCTTGAAATGATCCTCGTTTTCAATACTTTTTAAAAAGCATTGGAGGCAGTTTTGTGTCGTTGACCGTGTCAGGAAAAGCCACCTCAGTTCTGAGCACAAGAGTTTGCACAGAGCCCCCTGCATGTGCTTCAGAAGTGTGCGTGTGTGATGGCCTGCGCCCTCCCTGCCTGCTGGCCCCAGACAGGAAGGCAGGCTCACAAACAATGAGTTCATTTCTACGAAGTTTTCATGAGTCCCATGTGCTCGTCAGTGCGAACAGTAAGAAACCGCAGTGGCCCAGGGAGGGCTTGGAGATGGTGAACCTGCGGTGGGAGGCCTATCGGACAGCATTCATTCCCCATGACCTTGACATTGCACCGGGAAGCGCCTACCTGGCACAGAAAAAGTGCCATACATTCCTCGGGCGAGTCAGCTTCCTCAGATGAGAAGGTTCCCCCTCCCACGCCCGGCCACCAGAGCCGGGCACGGAAGGCTGGCTTCCGAGGACGGGATCAGCGCCGCCTGCAGGCGGAGCCCTCTCAGACAGTGCCTCCCGGTTTTCCAAAAGGAACAAGAATGCGTCTGAGGCCCGTCACTGCACTTTCCCAGGGTGAGCCTGGAGTGTGCATGAGCAGGAAGGGACAGGGAGGGGCGGGGACAAGAGGTTTTCCCCTCGCCTCCCTCTCGTGTGCCATTCCCTTACAGGTTAGAGCGCTTCCAGAAATATCTAGTGTGGACAGACACCTCCGGGGCATGGAAGACAGAGCTGATATTCTGCAGAAATATATTCCCAAGTGGCAATATTTTATTTGTGAAAAGTAAAAAATTCAATAAATTGTTAAATATGTAGACTGGCTGTGTAACTCTGAGCAATGTTTCATGAATTCTAATTAAACTTGCTTCAATTCTCTGTCATTTCAAATCAGTTAAGTGTGAAGTTTCATAATAAAACCCTACGATGCAAATAAAATATTGTTGCCTGGTTTATAATAGTAGCAGATATGACAGTGTTTATTAATTTTGTACTCCTGTATATACAAGGTCTTGACAACTGTAAGCTAAGAAATGAACATTATTCAAGTATCCGGACTTGGTTATTTCCAGATTTATAGAACATTTTTTCCCCAAGAGTATTGAATGTGCAGCTGGACACATGTGGTAAGATCCAGCCTTCTGAATTGCTCTTCCTGGAGTTAAAGAAAACACTGCCTGGATGTTCCCGTAATAACATCACAAGATGAGGCTCTTAAGCATTTGAATTATTATTCTGTGACCCACCATATAAATATGCTTTATTTTTGTTTTTACTAGCAAAAGTTTATTTAGGAAGTCACAGAGGTACAAGTGAGCCCTGAAGAAGTGAGCCAGCTGGGCTGCGTGGGCCCAAGAAACATGTTACAGAGGCCGAAGAAGGGCCCAGGGCTTAGGAGAAGGAAGCAGAGGCGATGTGCTGGGAAAGAAAGGGAAGGGGAAAGGTGGGCACCGTGCATGCATGTGTGCGTGCGTGTGCGTGTGCGTGTGCATGTGTGTGCGTGCGTGTGCGTGTGCATGTGCGTGTGTGTGTGTGTGTGTGTGTGTGTGAGAGAGAGAGAGAGAGAGAGAGAGAGAGAGAGAGAGAGACTGAGTATACTTTGCACAGAAGCCACCACAGACTGCAGCAGCAATGCTGGAAGACTGGATGCTCTCCTGCAATTCCTCAGTTTTGAAAGTGGCTGTCATTTATTTCATCACAATTGAACACTGTCCTTCCAACACACATATTTTTCCAATAAAGGCTGCCATTTATCTGTGGAACCAGAGGTTTATGGCCCATTTTATTCACACAAATATAAGAATAATACCTCGAAAATATGAAATAAAAACGAAAGAGAGGAGGAGAGAATCCAAGATGGCTGCACAGGTAAACACCTAACCGCAGCCGCACACAACAATTTCAATAAAATACAACTAAAATATAAAATGGACATTACCCAGAAATTCAGGAAAGTCGACTGACTGGAAATTCTACAATGAGAAGAAAAGAGAAAACCAGAAGGAAAATCAGAGGAGCTGCAAAAGCCTAAGGTACAGAGACACGCTGTGAGTGCGGAGAGGACAGAGCCGGAGAGGAGGAGAAGGCTGAGTGCCTGGCTGGCGTTCCCTAGCGGGAAGGAGATAAAAGCTCCGGATTGTGCTGAACTCCAGACCAGACAGCACTGAACCCTAGTTCTAGGCCAGACCCTGGGGACCCAGGCGCATACAGAAGGAGCCTGGGCTGTGAGGCAGAATCTCAGGGGAGCGGCGAAAGGCAGAGCCCCCGGAGGCACGCACATTACGCGCAGAAGACTGACTGTTGACTCCACTGCTAGATTGCCCTAGCAGGAAGGAGACAAAAGCTCCAGACTGTGGTGAGCCCCACTTCCAAATCCACTTCCAACTGAACTGAACCCCAGTTCCAGACTCCTTGGGGGAGAGCCTAGACTGTTTGGTAGCAGGCGAAACTCGAGGGCACCTCAATCTCAGAGGTGCTTGCAGCAAGTACCGAAGCCAAGGCTGTAGGCTCCACCCTGAAACTCTGCCCCATCCTAGCTGAGCACAGAGACTTTTAAGCTACCAACTCAGGGAAGCTGCGAAAATGCTGAGACAAGGAAATAGATCACAAACGAAAGAAATGGAGGACAAAAAGCAACAGGATATAAAGTTCAAAACCACGCTTATAAGGTTTTTCAAGAATTTCCTAGAAAAGGTCGATAAGACCTATGAGGATATGAAAAGGGATCAACTAGAAATAATAAGGAATCAAAAAGAAATAATAAGGGATCAACAAGAAATAAAGAATACATTGTCTGAAATAAAAAATATTATACAGAGTCCTAAAAACAGAATGGAAGATCACAAGAATCAAGTCAAAGATTTGGAACATAAAGAGCCAGAAGACACTCCTCGGCAGAAGCAAGAAGGCAAGAGAATCCAGAAAGTTGAAGATAATGTAAGAAACCCCTGAGACAACTTCAAGCAAACCAACATCGGAATTATGGGTGTCCCAGAAGATGAGAGAGAGCAAGATATTGAAAACGTACTGAAAGAAATAGTGACAGAAAACTTCCCCACCTGGTGAAAGAATTAGACTTACAAGTCCAGGAAGCACACAGAACTCCAATCAAAAGGAATCCAAAGAGGACCACACCAAGACATATCATAATTAAAATTCCAAGAGCAAAAGACAAAGAGAGAATATTAAAAGCAGCAAGAGCAAAGCAGGTAGTTACCTATAAAGGAGCACTCATAGGATTGTCAGCTGATTTCTCAACAGAAACCATGCTGGCCAGACAGGAATGGCAAGAAATATTCAAGGTGATGAATAGTAAGAACCTACAGCCAAAAATAATCTACCCAGCAAAGCTATCACTCAGAATCGAAGGCCAGATAAAGAGCTTCACTAATAAAAAAAAGCTAAAGGAGTTCATCACCACCAAACCAGAATTATATGAATTGCTGAAGGGCGTTCTTTCGGAAGAGAAAGTAAATAAAGGTAAAAACTATGAACAACAAATACGTAACTATCAATAAGTGAATCTAAAAACCAAGGAAATTTAAAAAAATCTGATGAACAATATTAACTGGTGAATATAATAGAATCAGAGGTAGGAAGGGGAGTGTACTGACGATTCTTGGGGAAAAGGGGAGAGGGGTGTGTGGGAAGAGACTGAACATAAACTGTGCACCTATGGATGAGGACATTGTGGCGGGGGGGAAAGGGCAGAGGGTGGGGTGGGAACCTGGTGGAGGAGAGCAATGGAGGGGGGAAAAAAGAGGAACATTTGAAATAATATGAACAATAAAGATTTATTAAAAAAAAAAAAAAAGAGAGAGAGAGAGGAGGAAACAGGGATATACTGAAATAAAAACAAAAGGAGACAGAACGACAAATCATGGAATTTTAAAAGCTGCCAGAAACTCCCAAGATTTTCTAGTTTCATTTTATGGAGGCAAAACTGGAGCCCGGAAGTCTTTCTGCTGTTGTTAATCCTTACCAGAGTATATTTTTCAAGAGATTGGAAAAGCGGGAAGTGGGGTGGGGGGAGAGACAGAGAGAGAGATAAAAACATCGATGTGCGAGAGACACATCAATTGGTTGCCTCCTACACATGCCCTGACCAGGCCAGGGATCAAACTTGCAACTCAAGTACGTGCCCTTGACTAGGAATCGAACCCAAGACCCTTTGTTCTGCGGGCAGGCACTCTAACCACTGAACAAGTGGCCCGGAGTCTTCATGAAAAAGGGTGATTCACATGAGTTTTCACATGAGCTAGGCATCTAAATTTGAAAAAACAAACCCCCAGTCTCAGAGCAAGGGGGCTGGGACAAGCACAGGCCCGGCTGGCTTCTCCGATAACCTGTCTAGAGCACCATGTGTATGTTCCCAGCTGGTGAAAGGGTGGACCTTCTTTCCTCGAAGGCAATGGCCACAGCGTCTGTTTGCTACTTCCTCCGAGTGCACAAGCCCAGGACAGAAGTAACTGCAGCGAGTCACTCTGAGCAGAGGAGGGGGCTCCCTGTCAGCTCAAAGCCTGAGCAGGCGCTCCGGAGGCTCAGCCAGGGCGGAGCAGAGCTCCCTCCGGGTGGGGCGGCAGGACAGGCTTCCTGCAGGAGGTGTCCCTGTGCTGGGGAAGGGTAGTGGCTGACCCTGCCGGCCCAGGGCAGAGTGAGCAGAGGCATGGAGACAAGCAACAGGGAGGGTGGGGGACACCCCGGGAAGACGGGCGTGAGGGCTGCCACTTCAGGAACAGCAGAGATGAGGCGGAGAAGGTAGCCGAAGGCCGGGCAGCAGGGCCTGTGGCCTTAGTCATGAACTCGATGCACCCGTGAGCAGGAGTTTAGCACGTTAG